GTCTGCACTCTACCTACCTCCTTACAATAAGTTCAGGACCATCATTTACATTTATAATGCAGAGAATCAGGCTACGAACTTGTTCCTTAATCTTGCTGTTGTAGTTTCTCCACCTGATGCGTTGATTTGGAGACGTTGTAAATGGGGAAATGCTTCCCTGTTCGGAACCAAACTGTAGAACGTTCCTGTGATTTGTTTTTCTTTTTTGATAACTGCTGTTTAACGCCACAGTTCGCGCTCCGTAAGTTATCACAAGAATGCTGAGATATTGGCAAAAGTCGGACCCGGGACGGGACTTGAACCCGCATCTCCCGCTTACCGGGCGGTTGCGTTATCCATTACGCTACGGGGCCTCCTTGCCTTCTCAGCTCAATGGCATTTTTGATTTGTGATTTGTGTGATTCTGTAATTTGTGACATTATGATGCAAACCCTGTTACTGACTCAACTTTATTACAATTATATAAAAATGGCACACAAAACGGTCTCATAGAATGATTGCATGGATTTCTAAAAGCAGTATATAATATGCAACTGTTCACATACAGATTGGTGTCAATCCATAGTGGTTCCAGCGAGGACGGATTAATCTCTCAATGTCAAGTTTTCCGTTTGGAAGCGGCGATCTGAGTAACTCTTGGTCTTTAGCTCGAATCCAGAGCGTCGTTGCTACTTTTTCTCCTTCCCATACCACACAGCCACCGTGGAGAGTATTGACTTCCTGAAAATTAACAAAGCCCCCTAGAGTGAGGGACGTCGATGAAGAGGTGAAAAAAGGCAATACCTATGGGGGAAATATTATTTCGCTCTCTCACAACTCAAGCCTGCTACGAATGAGTAGTGAGGGGCTGCCAAGTTCGTATTAAGTTAGGTATGTTCGCATTCCTTGACTGAGATCCATAATGTTTTGGCGACTTTTGGCCAAGCAGATGTGTTGTGCGCACGATTTACGAAAGTAACCATGCTTTCGCTACCAACCACAATGTTTCACGGGAGATATCTCCAATGGGTACAGAGAAGAGAAAACTTGGTCACGACCATTCGGTGCGCTTTGTCTGGCTGTACAGCTATGTGGCATCCTTTACAGCGAATGTTCCCAACAACTGGTATTGCGGCGAAGCAGGATAATTCCCAGTCAGTGCAGACAGCAGATGTTGCCAAAATGCTGTTCGGCTGCGCCCACAGAAGGTTGAGTAAACGGTGGTCATTCTTTGCTGGTGGCCAGCCTATAAATTGCTCAGTTTTGAATGAAGCAACTCTAGCTTCACTAATGGGACATGGCTAATGGCCTCCCTTCTAAAGACAACGCACCCATGACTACAGTAAAGTGACCCCGCACGAGCTTATAATCTCGGGTAGGTCAAAGAAACCTCGAATAGG